TTATGTTATTGTTATTAATTAAAACTGCCAATGCTGAGGGATAATGCCAAGAATTTTTGATAGGATTTAAAATTTCTAGACTATCTCTACAAATACAGCTGGACGCATGCATAAATAATTGCACAAAATTTACCCCTAAACATCATTTCCAACATCAAGTATTCTCCATCGAATGGAGATAATGCCTCATATGGCAAAAAATAATAACTCCATTTCTGAAAACGTTTCATTTACGGAAGAGAGGCACAGCTCTACGTTTTCAAATAATTCGAATGACAATAGTTAAATAACTGTGCTAATAACTGATGTGTACTTTAAAAAGAATTCAACCAAAGTGGTTCATTTTATTTAATAGTGATAAATGAATATTGCTATTTTATCATTTTGGTAATGAAATTAAAATAATTATAACTACAAAAATACTAGAACCAAAAGTAACACTCATTTATGTAAGTGCTAATTTAACTTCTTTGATTTGTAATGTTATACGAATAATCAATTTCTTGAGTCTTTGCACGCGTGATTTTTCTTCCTGCATCATATTATGAACACTTATACATTAACAGTTTCCTTCGAGGAAGTAATTGCGGAGTAAAATCTACTTTTAACATTTTGTTTGTAAAGACTCATGGCATGGACATTTGTATAATTAAAATAGGTATTTCATTTGGAGCATTTAACTAGGTTCAATATTTGAATTCGAAGCTTTACCTCTTGTTTACTATAGTTAATATTTATTTTTTTTATCACGGTACCAAACAATGGCTAGCTACACAAAGTTATAATGTAAAAACAGGTATTAATTTAGATTATAGCGCCGTGATATTGTACGCTACACTAATAATGGACCAAATCAGCACCGGTCCCTTTATTATCATACAGACAAAAAATGGATTATTGATTTAAAGCAAAACGACCTGCCATAATCAAATAAACCAAACTTTCCCCTACTCTGGTTTTTAAACAGCTGAGACACAAATAAGAATAAAAAGAAAATAAACACAAAGATTTGGTGTGCAATTATAGGGCTGTCGAAATTTGTAAATGATTTTTATACGATTTATTACCATCAGATAGTTGAAAATTTTCTCACCTTGGTGTAGTAAGGGTGTTAAAGTATATTTTTAGTAAAAAACTGAAAATGAGTAATTTTATCATATTGAGGGTACTTGTTCCCCTTAATAATAAAAGAAAATACATGCTGTTTGAAACTTAGTAATTTATTTTCATTGTTGTTGACAATCATGTGGTATTTGTTACAAATTTATCAACTCGGTGAACGAAATTATCCTAACGTCGAATTTTAAACAATTTTAGATTTAGTTGTTACAAATATTCCGTATAATGCAGTACATGTCAGTTTGTAGGCTGATCTTAGAAAGAAAAAATGTGTGACAAGAGTTCGATGTTCAGGCATCTCTGAAGCCGCAAATTTATTTTTTGAGAATTTCACACAATGTGCTTCGTAAAATTGTTAAAATTAGCATGTTTCTAAATTAATATTATACACCAGTTTATTTCTCTCAGTAATACAATTTCTCTGCAGTCATATACTGTCTTTTGTTACGCAGCCCTAATATGCCAATAACTTATCCATCTTCACTATAACTTGCTCACACCAACCTGAAAAAAGGCCTTTTGCATAATTATCAATCTGTTATTTTAAAAATCACATCTTCCCGCGGAATTTACTTCTACCTTGAATATTGTCTAGCGATTAGCTTGCGATATTTGCTCTATTACACCGAGCCACATGCCAATGAGTCTATTAATCGTAAAATCCTTCCTATTCGCTTTTTGCTTTAATGTTTGTATTGTGTATAAAAACAATTAAAAATACAAAAAAATCTTTAAATATAAAACTTCAAAAAAAAGTTTAAAATTTTGAAAAATTAAAATAAAAACTAAAATTTCATTTTATTAATCGTTTATATTATCTCCCCCCCTAACCTTTCTCGGGCACATGTGGCTCCCTCTAGCTTGCATCAAGTAAACTAACTTATGCAATTTTCTTATTTCTGCTCACTTTATTTAATTCTGATGAGTAGGCAAATGGTTTTAAACCATAGGCACTCCGTAATTTTGGCATTGGCAGGCTTGATCAATAAAAAGTTTGATGTGGACACCACGTGACTTCCTTGTTCCTATTAGAATTTTTTTTTTTTTTTTTTTTTTTTTTACACAAACAATAAACAGATATTAAATATTGTTGGCCATATATTGTTAGACTAACTGTAACTGTTCTGCTATAAACACGATTGCCGGCTAGCTCTAAAAGTATTTAACAAAGCACGGGGTTACAAAGGAAATATATTTCCGAACAGAACATACACTGAAAAGAAAGAGCTAACATTTAGAAGAAACATTTAAATTTAACGTTAGAATTATGGAGATATAATAACACATAATCTATCCTCCTAGATATCCTCAGGTAGACGTCGACTGCCTATTAGTCGTTCTTGTCGCCACTAGATGGCGTTCAATCAAGTCATTCGGTTACAGCCAAATAGTCCTGTTACATAACTACATATTTAAATTAATTATTATTTCATTACATATGTATCTGGATTTCGTTATTTGTCGATTTTTTTTAAAAATTTAACATTGTAAAACGTGAATATTTTCGTGATTTAAAATACTTCTGAAATGGGAAGTTTAAGAATTACGACGAACGATTGCGGAAATAAAGGTCGGGTAAAGGGTATTTAAGCGGGGAAAGAGGTGGGTGTATACCTATTTATCTATGTATGTATGTATGTATGTATGTATCTCTCTCTATATATATATACACTTTTGGTGCTGTCGATTGCAATAGAAAAGGAATGTGCATAACTAGAAGTTGTAGCAGTCCCATACACACAATTTCAACATTCTATCGCTAATAGTTTTTGTGTTAAGCGAAATACTTACATATGTCCATACGTATGGACATATGTATATATCTCTCATACATACATTACGTATGTAGGTATGTATTGCACGTACGTATGTCACGGAAAAAACGCTTTTGAATTTATAATAAAAATCCGTTTTTGGAAAAAAAGAGGCATTTATTCTCTTCGTATGTACGGAACTCACACACACAAAAGTCGGCCAGATGGATTCAGAAACAAAAGCATTTCTGGAGTTTACAAACGCTTCTCACTTTATAACTATTGTCACGGATTTTGTAAATGGATAGATAATTTTAATGAAATTATACGCGAAATTGTTGTTTTATTTTGTATAATGTAACATTAAACTTAGAATGAACGCTGAACTTAGAATACAGGAGCAAGTGTATTTGACATAGAGTAAACAACTATCTCGCTATCTTTGGCTACGTATCGCCAAGATGCAAGGAGGTTAGAATAGAAGGAGGGAAGGTTCAACTTAAACGGTGAAGCGTGGCGGCCATCTTCCTGTTATCACCGTGACTTTTGCAAGGAAGTTTGTCATTGCAACATTTTTTTTCTTTTCTTTTTGAAGCATGTCAGCTTGTGTTTGCATATGGATGCACAAATAGATTCTCAAAAAAAAAAATTCCGGGCATTACTTTTCACACGTAAGTATTGATTTTCTTTTTTTATGTAATATGGCAACTATGTTAAAAAATATCACAATGTTATGTTTTCTTTCCAGATGTGAAAAAAAAAGAGTTAAATAATCACAACATGTTATGTAATATAACTACAATCAAAAAATGTTAAATATATTTTTAATGTTTCTGTTTATAGCTGGTATCTTCGTTCCTTAAGATACAATGATATATGGTAGGATTTTTAAATTGTATAATTTGAATGTTTTAGGTAATTCCTTTTATAACTTTCATGGAAAAGTAAGAAATCAATTGTTACTATTTTTTATTAATTGTAAAGGTGTTAAGTAAAGCAATGCTTTTCTTTATATATTAATTGTTATTCATTTTTTTAAGTTAAGATAAACTGTTCTGTTGTTAAAAATTTTTTGCATAAACTTACAAATTTCTAGGCAGTATAGTGATAAAATTAAGTAAAATATTTATTGAACATGTGGAAAAGATGTATCCAAAAACTTGTATAGGTATATTTCTGTAATTCAGCTTAATTAAAGGCAGTTTCTTTAATCGAGATTCGTAAAATAAATATGAAATGCGCATAAACTGAAATCATTTTGAATTTTACATAAATCTGTTTTATTTTATTAAGTTGTGAAAAGGATCTTCTATTTAAAATTTTCATTTAAAAAATTACGACTGCAACCTGTGACTATTTTTTTAGATAATTATCTGCTATTTAAATTTTAGGTTTCCTAAAATGCAGAACGAAGAGCAGCTTGGATACGAGCTGTTCGAAGAGAGAATTGGATGCCAACTAAATCCTATTCACGACTTTGTTCTGATCATTTTTCTGAAGATCAGATTGACAGAACTTCATTATGCTGTGTAAGACTGAGAGAAAATGCTGTGCCTAATATCTTCAAAGCATTTTCCACTTCACCTGCAGAAAGGTACATTATTCTGTTATTTATTACATAGAAATAAGGAATTAAATAAGAATTTGTGTACATGTTTATCTCTGAAATGATATTTGCAAAAGATCAAATACTTCTAGTAGCCTGATTTCAGTAAAAACTAGTAAAATGATATTGGTCTAATGAAACTTGCAATGGCATAACATGCAAACTTATCATATGTGGTTATGTGTCATTGTGGTAATGATTTCCAAAATCAAAATATCTTTCATTCAGACTTAATGAAAAGATAATGTTACTTTAATTTAAAGAATATTTCCAGTAAATTTAGAAAGCATTATTTCAAAACAAAAATAAATTGACATTAAATCATTGTTTGGAAAATGAATTATCTTATTTTTAGTTAGTGTTAATTTTCATGAAATTTTTAAACATAAATATCATTTTGCATGTTAATTAGACTACATAAATATTACAAGACACTTATAAAAAGTTTATTTTAGAAGTAAATCTGCATTAGTCATGCTTTAATAAATATCTTTTCTTTCTTTTTTTTTTTTTTTTTTTCCAGACCAAAAAAAACACGAAAAGTTCCTGCAGAACGTCTTCTTGAGGATAAAAAGAAAGAGGTAAGTTAGTTTTGAATTTAATGTTACCAGCAGTTCTTTTGTTTTCTTGATAAAATGTATTTGAAAGTAAAATATTTTGTATTCAAAGAGAATAAAGCAACTTTTTGCGTGAGAATTATCATAATAAGAAATGTTTAGAATCAACAATAACCTGTCCCTTAACCAACAGAAATTTTTTCTTTTTGATTTGCTACTTTTGGATATAACGTTGTGCTTTATGCAAGAATTTCTCTTCTAAAGCTTGAATAAAGTTAAAAGCTTAATGCAAATAATTGCTGGAAAAATTGGTCATGACTATTTTAGACGAGGACAGTTTTTTAATAAGAAAAATGAAAGAATTAATGCTTTCTGGGGAGTTGGCCATTTGTCTGAAGCTTAAAAAAGACAAATAACAGATTTCTTCTTGACAAAAAACTGAAAATGTTCTATAAATTTTATTATTTTACCAATTAAACAGTGCCATTCCTGAAATGAAGGTTCGGCAACAGTCAACAATTATTACTGATTAATTCTAAAGGACACATTCATCTGTAATGGGCACTGAATCATACTGTTTTACCAGTCAACTGAATAATATTCAAATAAAAAATCTGATATTCATTCAGAACACATACATTCATACAGATTCTTTATTATTTAATTTCTTTAAATATAATACAGGGCGATAATATTTGGTGGCAACTATTTGAAAAGTGATTTGCAGTTTATAGTTTTTAACGCAAAATGGCAAAATGAAATTAATAGTCCTTTAGGGCAAATTGCCCATTTTGACTATTAAAGAATGAATGATACTATTAAAATGAAAGCAGGAATACCTTTTGTTATTTTTATGTAATTTTTTATTTGCCATACATCTGATTGATTTTTTTTTTTTTCCAAGGAGCCTGTATTATGTGAACCACAAACTAGTGCAACGTCTGTTGAATATTCTCCATGCAAGCAACAGCTGAAGCGAAAGCTGCATAAAGCT